AGAGAGAATCGATCTTCCATCCATTTGTTCACTCCCCAGATGGCCACAATGGGTGGAGCTGGCCCAATCTGAAGCCAGGAGCCAGGAGTTTCTTCTAGATCTTCCACATAGGTACAGGGGCCCAAGGACTTGGACCATCTTCTGCTGCTTTCCCAAGTACATGAGAAAGGAGCTGGATCAGAAGTGGAACAGCCAGGACTTGAACCAGCACCCACATGGGATGCCAGTACTACAGGTGGCTGCTTTACCCACTACTCCACAGCACTGCCCCCCACCCCAACTTAATCAATTAAGAAATGGGTGGGTGTAGTGTAGTGCTCTGGTACAGTGGGTTAATCCACTGCCTCTGATGCCAGCATCCCAGCATCCCACATGAGTGACATTTTGAGTGCTGGCAGCTCCACTTCCCATCCAGCTCCCTGCTAATGTGCCTGGGAAAGCAGCAGCAGATGGCCCAAATACTTGTGTCCCTGCCATCCAAGTGGGAGACTCCAGTGGAGTTCCAATCTCCTGGCTTTGGCTTGGTCAAGCCCTGGCACTCATATGGGGAGCAAAGTAAATCTTTAAAAAAAGGATAAGAGCAGTGTTTACCCAGGTGGCTAAGATGCCTGGGTCTCACACTGGAATGCTTAGATTTAATTCCTGGAGGCCGGCGCCACGGCTCAATAGGCTAATCCTCCACCTAGCGGTGCCGGCACACCGGGTTCTAGTCCCAGTCGGGGCGCCGGATTCTGTCCCGGTTGCCCCTCTTCCAGGCCAGCTCTCTGCTGTGGCCCGGGAAGGCAGTGGAGGATGGCCCAAGTCCTTGGGCCCTGCACCCCATGGGAGACCAGGAGAAGCACCTGGCTCCTGCCTTCGGATCAGCGCGGTGGCAAAAGGAAGACCTTTCTCTCTGTCTCTCTCTCTCACTATCCACTCTGCCTGTCAAAAAATAAAATAAAATAAAATAAAATAAAATAAAATAAAATAAAATAAAGAGATAGCCATGAAACTTTAAAAAAAAATTTCCTGGCTCCAGCTCCTGACTCCAGCATCCTATCAATGCACACCCTGGGAGACAACAGTGATGGCTCAATACAGACCCTGGGAGACAAGACTCACATGGGAGGCCTAGATTGTGTTCTTGGCTCCCTGCTTTGATTCTGGCTCAGCGCTGGTCATTGTGGGTATTATGGGGTGAAACAAAGGACAGGTGCTCACTCTATCCATCCCTCTGCCTCTCAAATAAAGTATTATTAAATAAAGGAAATGGGTAAAGGACTTAAATAGGCATCTCTCCACAGATGACACACCAACTGCCAATAAGCATATGAAATGATGCTCACCATCTTCAGAGAAATGCAGACCAAATCACCTCAAACCCGTTATTTGACAGCTACCATCAAAACAACAGAAAATAACAAGTGTTGACCAGGGTATGGAGAGATTGGAACCCCTATACACTGTTGATTGGACTGTAAGATGGTGCAATTATTTACAACAGCTATGAAAAACAGTACAGAGTCTCCTCAGAGAATTAAAAATAGGAGAGCCATATGCTGCAGCAATCCCATTCTGGAAACATACCCCAAATAATCGAAAGCAGGGTTGTGAAGAGATGCTTGGATCCCCTTGTTCATAGCAACACTTCATGGCAACTAGGACCTGGAGGCAATCCACAATGTATATACACACAGGGGAATAGTATTCATCACTTACTACAACATGAGGAACCTTGAAGACCTTATGCTAAATAAAATAAGCCAGGCACCAAAAGACAAATACTGGTGAATCCGCTTTTATGACCTATCTGAAATAATCAAATTCATAGAAATAGAGAGTGGAATTGGTTACCAGGAACTGGGTGGGGGTGAGGTGGGGACAAAGGGAGGACAGGCGTTGCTGTTTAACGGGTACAGGATTTCATATTTATAACATGGAACGTTCTAGAAATCTATTTCACAGCAACGTGTCTATGCTTTCTGTAGAACCATATACTTTAAAATGGTTAAAATGGTAAACTTTAAATTACACATTTATAATTGTTTTAACCACAATCAAAAGGAAAAGAGAAAACCTCTGCTGTACTACAGTTGTTGAGGACTTGGTGCTCTGAAAAATCAACAGATTGGGCAGGCGCCGCAGCTCACTAGGCTAATCCTCTGCCTTGCAGCGCCGGCACACCAGGTTCTAGTCCCGGTCGGGGCGTCGGATTCTGTCCTGGTTGCCCCTCTTCCAGGCCAGCTCTCTGCTGTGGCCCGGGAGTGCAGTGGAGGATGGCCCAGGTGCTTGGGCCCTGCAACCCATGGGAGACCAGGAGAAGCATCTGGCTCCTGCCATCGGATCAGCGTGGTGCGCCGGCTGCAGTGCGCCGGCCGTGGCGGCCATTGGAGGGTGAACCAACGGCAAAGGAAGACCTTTCTCTCTGTCTCTCTCTGTCTCTCTCACTGTCCACTCTGCCTGTCAAAAAAAAAAAAAAAAATCAATAGATTGAGTCCAACACACACAGTGACAGGTGGCAGGTCAGATTTGGCTGTCACAGGCCTGCTGACCCACAGCCCAATGCAATCGTCCTCTCCCTGGAGCCAACACCTTGTGTTTACATACTTTCCCCACACCTTTGTCTACAGTAACAGGTTACAAGTGGACATAGAGCGTGCCATTCACTGTTACCTCAGTGGGGAGCAGTAAGGTGAAGCAGGTAGCAGGAGTAGTATTTTAGACTGTAGTTAATGGCAGAATAATGATTAGAATTTAGCTAGGGGCCAGCACTGTGGAAAAACTGGTTAGGCCTCTGTCTGCAATGCTGGCATCCCATTTAAGTGCAGCTTTGAGTCGAAGCTGCTCCACTTGCAATCCAGCTCCCTGTTAATGCACCTGGGAAAGCAGCAGACTATGACCCAAGTACTTGGGTCCCTGCCACCTATGTGGGAGACTCGGATGAAGCTCCTGGATCTTTGTTTCAGCCTGACCCAGCCATGACTGTTGCAGTCTTCTGAGGAGTGAACCATTGGATGAAAGACTCTCTCTTTCCCTATCTCTTTCTTTCAAATAAGTAAAATAATTTTTTTAAAAAAGAATTTATCTGCCCAGGATTTTTCCTGTAGCTATATGGAGCTATCTATAGATTTTTTTTAAACACTTCATTTATTTGAAAGGCAGAGTGACAAAGATCTTCCATCCACTGGTTCATCCCCAAATGGCTGCAACAGTCAGAGCTGGGCCGGGCAGAAGCCAAGAGCAGTAATGCTCCTCAGGTCTCTCACATGGGTGGCAGGGGCCATCATCTGCTGCCTCTCCAGGAACCTGGATCAGAAACCAGGACTCAAACCAGTGCTCAGATAAGGGATGCCAGCATTCCAAGCGGCGGTTTAACGGCCTACACCACAAAGCTGGTCATCTACAGTTTCCTAACAATCAGGAAAACAATACTGATTTGACTGGGAGTGAACACAGTATTTCCATGAATTCCATACCTGCTGCTCTAAGTTCAGATTGAATTAAAGTGCTGTGGTGCTCTGTGTGCATTTAACCCTAGAGCTAGGAGAAGAGAGGACGGTACTGATTCCAGAACTCATTTAGCTTGAGATCTACTATGTTAAAGCTTTCTCCAGAAGTAATTTCAGTAGCACCTAATCATCTATGAACTATTAAAATAATCCCATTTAATACTAGTCTCCAGTGGGCATTAGGCACTTTTAGGGAATTACGTAAATCTGCCCTTTGTCTTTACAGCATTGACTAACGTTTTAAACTTAAGTAACAATTTAGAAGACAAATGGTTATCATTGCTGTCTCTCTAGGGGTGGCATAAAAGGGAAAGACAAATAAAGCCCAGTTCAGCAGGTCAGGATCTAAAATTAAACCGTGAGTAAAATGCTGAGGGTACAAAGTTCATTTGGCTCCGTACTGTGAAGCAGCACAAATGAGAGGTTTTGCCTGGCATGATATGAATTCTCATACTAAACAGCTTCTTTTCACTGTCTAGGGAAAAACTCAATCAGTTACACTTTAGTTACACCACAGTCCACAAAGTTTATGTAGTATTTGGAGAGTTACAGAAGCATAAACATCACTATGTACTCAACGCAGTTCCGATTATAAACGTGAATGCCGTGTTAAAAGACCTCTTTCTTCGTGTACATAGAGCTGTGCTTAACGAAAGCTGTGGCTCTCAGGGAAAAACACCTGCGAGTGTCTGTCTCTCTGAAAAGCACAGAAACAGGAAGTGAATATTTCACTGTTACTCAAACATAAAAAGCAAATGCAGTACAGAAGCACCAAGAGGATCTTAGTTCAGAAACACAAACCTATAAGAGACATTCTGGATTCAATCACGGAAACTTGAATACAGACTGAATATTAGTCGATATCAGGAAATCATTGTTTTCTTCAGATGTGATGATGTTATTAAATTAGGAACCAAAAAAAAAAAAAAAAAAAGGGCCGGCGCTGCGGCTCAATAGGCTAATCCTCCGCCTTGTGGCGCTGGCGCACCGGGTTCTAGTCCCGATCAGGGCGCCGGATTCTGTCCCGGTTGCCCCTCTTCCAGGCCAGCTCTCTGCTATGGCCAGGGAGTGCAGTGGAGGATGGCCCAAGTGCTTGGACCCTGCACCCCATGGGAGACCAGGATAAGTACCTGGCTCCTGCCATTGGATCAGCGCAGTGCGCCAGCCATGCCGGCCGCGGCGGCCATTGGAGGATGAACCAACAGCAAAGGAAGACCTTTCTCTGTCTCTCTCTCTCACTGTCCACTCTGCTTGTCAAAAAAAAAAAAAAAAAAAAAAAAAAAAAAATTAGGAAGCTAATGTTCTTAGTCTCAGGAGAGACAGCTGAACAATTTGGAGAAGTACTTTGATCTTTGTAACTAATTCAAATGGTATTATAGAAGTAACCTCTATTTTCTGTGCATTTGCAGTTTTTTTTTTTTTTTTTTAATGAGAATTGAGGTAAGAAAGAGCATCTTTAGACAATTCCCGGAGTGGGTGTTTGGCCTATTGGTTAAGATGTTTGCGTCCCACCTGAGTGTCTGGGATGGATTCCGAGTTCCAGTTCCTGCCTCCAGCTAATGCAGACCCTGAGAGGCAGTGGTGATGGCTCATGTGGTTGGGTTCGGGACATCCACATGCGAGCCCCGGATTGCAGTTCCTGTTTCCTGGTTTTGGACAGGCCCAGTTCTGGCCATGCATTGGCATTTGGAGAGTGAATCAGTATTGGGCACTCTGTTTCTTAAATAAATAAAATAATAAAATAATAAAAATATCCTTAGCCAAGAGCGCTATGGGAGAACTTTTGAGCAATGACTTCCCTTTGGGTGTGCATGTTACTTTTTTTTTTCCTGTTACACCCGGGGTATTTTTCAGTTCCTGCAGGCTCAGCTCCACCCAGGCACAAGCAACCCTTAATCACATTTAAGTCAACAGAATTCAGCAGCAACTGCAAGTGAGCCCGAGGAGATAAAGTCCACAGTTACATTCAGTCTTTGCATTTGTGCAATATCACACGGGCACACTCACTTTCAAGATGCCCAACGGTTTCATCGGCACTTTCTGCGGTCTTATCAGCATGTAGGGTCTGTGTTTCTTGCTTCTTTCCTCCCGCAGACAATGACCTCAGGCAGAGGCTATTTCTTTCTAGCCCATGGACGCAACCTGAAAGCACTTTTCCAGAGGAAATTCCCCCCCCTCCCCCCCCGCGCGCGCGCTCTTGGTCCATTCTTCAATCCTATTGCGATGGGCCTATACTGAAGTTTTTTCTCCTCTGAAAACCAATTTCATCCTGCAGCGTGAAAAGGAAAGCGCCAGTGTGAAAACTCCAGTCGCCATTTCATACTCTTTGGTCATTAGCAATAAGGATGTAAATCAAAGTGATAAGCGTGTGTACCAGGACGAAGTGACATCACTCTGACAAGAGAGCACACGGTGACCAGGCTGCACACTCTTCTACTTAACAGCCTGGCTTCCTCCCTGCCAGGCTTTGGCGCCAGAGGCTGTAAGTATTTAGCAAACGCCGGTCTGTTACTCCCGAGCGAGCGGTGAGAGGGGCCTATCGGGTCACCAGCTGGGGCAGGTGTCCAGGAATATAGGTGCTCACACCATGGCACGCCGCCGGCCGGGGGCCCCCTGAAAGGCGCGGGCGGAGCGTGTGCGTGAGTGGCAGGCGTGCTGCACCTCCCCTACCAACATGGCCCCCGCGCCCCGGCCCGCGGGGGCGGCCATCTTGGTCAAGTCGGGCCCAGGGGGCCTTGGCGGGGCTAACGGCGGCCTGGCTGCCACAGCCCAAGGTCACAATGGCTGAGTGACCGGGCAAAGCGGGGCGAGCCGAACGGCGGCCTGGGGCCCCGCGCGGCCCCGAGGTGCCGGGTGGCGCCGCGCGCAGCCCCCACCGACGGCTCACTGCCAAGGATGGCGAGGAGGCGAGCGCTGAGGCGCTGTTTGCAGCAGCTGTTGGCGCCCTCGGCGGAGCCGGCGCGGCGCGGCCGGGGGCGGTGGAATCCGGGCGCCGGCCGCTGCGGCTCCTCAGGCAGCCCGGGGGCGCTGCGGTGGCAGCGGCAGCGCGCGCGCCCGGCCGCCCTCCGCGCCAGGTGAGCCCGCGCGCTCCGCGTCCCGCTCCCTCGGTCCGCCCCCCGGCCGCGTGCCCGGGGCGGGGGCGAGCGCCTGGCGAGGGCGCTCGCTCCGGCTGCTTCCTCCCGGCCGGGCGGGTCTTCGGCGACTGTGCAGCGGCTTCCTCCCGGGTCTCCCGGGGCGGAGCGCTCCGCACGCCTGAGGTTGTGCGCATTCGGCTGGCCGAGCCGAGCCCCAGCCCGGCCGCATCCTGGGCGCGCTGCGCTGGTGAGCGCCCGCACCCGCGAGCTGCGGAGCCTGCATCCCCGGAGCTGCCTGGGTGAGGAGCCGCAGGCTGTCCCCCGGCGCTTTCGGGCGAATCGCCGTGTCTGGGATTCGTGTCAGATCCTATCTCTCGCGCAGATGGCTGGGTTGCGTCTTCGCTGTCTGAATACGCGAGGGGGTATTTTCTTTAGGTTGCATACAAATAGATGGGTGGACAACTTCTCTCAGTCACTGACTTCTGCCTCGTCTCTAGGACTTAGCCTCCGAAGCCCCTTTCCAACAGGTTGCGCTGCTTTTACCTTGAAATAAGTGTGTTCATTTAACCATGGCATGGAAATGAAGAGCAAAGTAATGGGACAAGGTGGCGTTGGGGAAGGCGCTGCGTTCTTGAAATTTCTGGGCTGGGGCGGTTTGCTTCTTAAATCGGTTGTTCCTGCGGGGTCTGCAGAGTAGGTATTCAGGTAGGGATCCCCCCCCCCCCCCCCGTGGATAAGATACGGTAGTTGGGATAAGTAGGCTGCCACGGACTCCTGGGAAATCCGGGGGTGAGACAAATTAATAGCCTTTAAAAAAGTCATTTAGTTGTGTCTTTGCTTTACTGTATGTAGGTTGTTACCTATGTGATAGTTGGCTTCGGTTAAGCATGAATTGTTTGCTATATGACCATTCTGATTCATTGGTTCCGAAAGTCACTCCTGAGATGCGGTTGTCTGCGAATTCAGCCATTTCCATCGTTTGTTGAAAACTGGAAGCTCTTTTCCATTCTGTTACATTGGTTATGATTTAGCTTCAGATGTCAACTTCGTTTAGAAAGAAGTTATGTAATCTTTAAAAAGAAAAAATTACCCAAATCCCAGCACACTCTGGTGTTGCTGCAAGATCGGCGAAAGACGACACTCAGCACAAGTGGGCTTAATTACAGGAAGAATTTAAGACAGAGCTTGAGAGGTTGAAAGGGTTTTAAGTCAACTGAAGGTACAGTCACAATTTGCAAAGATTTTACTTTTATCTTAGTTTTTTGCTACAAGAAGTATGGTAAGTCTCCAAGAGATGGGACTACCTAGTGCACTCGCTACACCCTTGTTTTCATGCATAGTTACAAGATGTATTGTACAGGTTCCAATTGTGAAATTCAGCATTTTAACTAGCCCAGCTATTACTACATGAAGAACATTTGAATATGAACATCACAACATAGGGTTTCAATCATACTTTCATCTCTATAGTCATCCTCATGTGTTTGTTTGAAAAGAATATTATGTTACTTTGAGCATATGTCAGCATGGGAAACTGAGTTTTTTTTTTTTTTTTTTTATATGAACATTTAGCCTGTTTGGAAAATTGGAAAAGTAATATTTGCCTTTAATTGAGTTGCTTCATTCTGCTTTTTCTTTGTAGTGGTGGCTAGCTGTGACTGTAGTGGATTTTTCCATTCCTTCCCCCCTCTCTTTATGTCAATAAGAACATGGCTGCAGGGGTGTGGGTATTTTAGGTTGAAATGCATACAAGCAAAAAGTGTTCTCACTGACGTGTTATTAGGGAGATGAACTGTGCATGTAATTCACTGCTTCAGAACACTTTTATCCTGAAGGTCTGTATAAAACTGGCATGAAAAAAAATACCCAAGTGATTTCCAGCATAAGGTTCAAGCAGTATTTCATCCTAACTCCCATAATACTGGAGAATTCCACCCACCTATAATCTAGAGTGTTCTGCTTGACTGTCTTTTGAATTCAGTAACCATTGACTGTGTATGTAAGTCTTTTCGTAACAGCCTTTTGTGACAGATTCCATACGAATTCCCATACCTGCAGGGGCAGTTTGAGGTCAGCGATGCAGCCTTCTGCCCAGATGGTTAACTAATGTATTTTGACTTTCTCATTTACAAAGCTCCTCCTATCATTTACAAAGTATTTTTTATGTATTTATTTTTAGTTTGATTTTATGGACATGAAAAATGTGAGATTATTAACCCCATTCCACGGATGAACAAAACAGGAAACTGAGACCTGGGTGATTTTAATTGTCTGGCCGGGGCCAGCCTTGTGCAGATGATGAACACTAGCTGACTCTTGTTAGAGTACTGATGAGGCCAAGGTCCAGGGGACTGGGTCAACAGCATGGGTCAGCAGCGTTGGTCCACAGCTCATTCATAGATTGCACCCCTAAACCTGGGTGACAGCTTGTGAGCTGTCGGTACCATTGGCTACCAAGGCATAGGCCTGGCCAGTAGATGGGTCAGCATAATTCACCACCGGACCCAGAAATTCAGTTTGTGCCTGCTTCCTAGAACATTCTGTTTTTCCCCTTAAATGCAGCAGATTGTCGTGTTTATCTAATTTGGAGGCCTTCCCAGATTAAGGGACAGTAACACACTGATGGAACAATGGATGCCTGTAGACTTCTGCCTAATTTTGTAATCTCTCTCAGCCATAAGAATGAACTTACCAGATAAAGAAGCACCAGGCTATCTCGCTGTTTCTAGCACTCCTTAACCTGGTCACATACTTGTTTGTGTTGCCTACAGCATAATGCTAGGGCTGTCAGATGGCAGTCATATTTTGTTCTGAAAATTGTTCTTTTCCGTTCCCTTTTCAAGTTGCTGTGTTCATTCCTTTGGTTTGCCTAGCTCATGGAAAGCTCTCTAAACTTTGTTTTAATATTGTGCTATTTTATAGCTAAGCAACTAATGAAATGCTGGTGTTGTCCAGGATGGCCTTGTTGGGCTATTCTGGGCTTGTGTGCAGATTGGGGAAGTCTTCCAACAGGGCAGTAGGGGGTCTTTTGCTACTCAGGATCCAGATGGTTCTTGCTCCTGATTGGTTGATTTGGAGCTGGAGCTGGCTACATGTCAGATCAGAAGGGACTTGACTGAGTGAGTCCTGTTTCTATCCTGTCTTAATTGTACCAAGGTTAGTTTGGGCCAGTTTGAAAGACTGCGCTCAAATACGGTTCTTGGAGCCGGTGTTTGCTGCAGTTTTTTTTTTTTTTGTTGTTGTTTTTTTTTTTTTTTTTGAGAGGCAGAGTGGACAGTGAGAGAGAGAGAGAGAGAGAGAGAAAGGTCTTCCTTTGCTGTTGGTTCACCCCCAATAGCCACTGCGGCCAGCACACCACGCTGATCCGAAGCCAGGAGCCAGGTGCTTCTGGTCTCCCATGGGGGTGCAGGGCCCAAGCACTTGGGCCATCCTCCACTGCACTCCCGGGCCACAGCAGAGAGCTGGACTGGAAGAGGGGCAACCGGGACAGAATCCGGCACCCCGACCGGGACTAGAACCCGGTGTGCCGGCGCCGAAGGTGGAGGATTAGCCTAGTGAGCCGCGGCGCCGGCCTTCTGCAGTCGTTCTTAAAGGTGCCATTTGGGACACCTGCATCCCTTATCTGAGTACCTGGATTTGAGTGCTGCCTCCACTTCCAGTGCCAGCTTCCTGCTAATGCAGACCTTGGGAAAGCAGTGGTGATGGCTCAAGTAGTAAGGTCTTTGCCACCCATGCAGGAGACGTAGATTGAATTCCCAGACCCTGGTGCAGCCCTGGCTGTTACAGGTTTTTCGGGTACTGAACCTGCAGATGGGAGCTTGCCCTGTGTCTGTCTGCCTTTCGGGTAAATGCAAATTAAAACAAAAAAAACATGTTTCTCACATCAAAGAAGTCCAGAGTTGGGCAGGTCAGCTGGTAAGGTAGACCCCAAAATCATGGATCTCCTCTATGCCATTTCTAGGATGTGACCCTCATGCTGCTGGCTCAGGCTGCAGGAAGAATGAAGACAAGTGCTTTGTGGGAGGAGACTCCCAGGAGCACCATGTACATGTAAGACTTGAGCCTGAATCACATCAGTCACAGTGTCACCAACATGACCATGCCTCGCTGGGAGGCTGGAGTAGAGTAATTAGGGTATAGTAATCCTGAGAGCAGGCGATTCTGCCGCGGGGGGCAGAGGGAGACTGGATTTCCTTGTGAGCACCGTCTAGTCTTTACCACTGTGCACTGCTGAACTCAGCCACTGCCCAAGACGCTTCAGTGTTTATTTTCAGTGACCAGTAGGGTTAATAGAATGTTCTCTTTGTCTCTCAGCCCTTTGGGTATTTTTTCCTTCTCAGATTATTTGATCCCAGTAGATCTTTTCAAAAATAATTAACTAGGTGTGAGATGAAGAGTGATTAGGAGCTGAATCTCCAGTTTGTTTATTCATCCCATCAATAACTGAGTGCGCCTTATGTCCAGGCTGTGGTGTGTTAGTATGAATCATTACTGATTGTATGTTTCTGGCTTGGCTTGGCTTGGCTTGGTTTGGCTTCCTAGGAGCACAGGGTAGAATTTGTGATTCAAATGAACCAGTTGGAGTCTGTGTGCTGTTGAACTTTGTATCCAGGAATGTGGTGTTGCCAGTATGTAGCAGTCTCAGGTTTAGACTGCCTCCAACCTGGAGTGCCGGGGAGGCAGGAAGAGGAGACTCCAAGGTGGGCAGTTGCCAGGCTAGCATACATTCTAGAGATACTGCAGAGTCCTGTGGGTCAGTCCTTTGGTGACTGATGATATATAAAGTTTTGGTTCTGGACAGAATCACCAACTGAGCTTTGAAAAAACTACTACAGCCCCAGTGCAGCCTTTGATTCAGGAACCTCAGGGATGGGGTCGGAAGCTCCGCAGGTGCTTGTGATGTGCAGCCAGGTTGAGGATCACAGGTCCAAGGCTTTGGAGCCAATGGCCTTGGAGGTACTCTAGGGAGGGTTCTCATGGCTTTTCCTATGACCGTCACACTGGAGATGGGATCTTTTCTCGATACCTTCTTGTGATCAGAAAGAAGAGGTAGGAGGAGTTCTAAGATAAGCAGGAGAGAGAAAACACTGAAATGCTTTCGAGGCAAACTGACTCATAATTTCTCCAGAGCTGGCTTTGCTTGCCTGTTCCAATCATGAGAAGTATTTCCTTGGAGAAACACCTCATTTTAACTGGGACTTCAAGCCCTGGGGAAAGTGCGGGGTCTCCATGAGGCCAGCGTTAGTACCGAGTTTGCAGTTTTTGTTCCTGTATGGAGGGCAATGCGGGGAAGTAAGGACAGTGGGAGAACAGGATTATGACTTTCACAATCATGGGACTGTTCAGGGTTGATGACAGGAGCCTCCTGGTGAATCGGGCAGAATTGGTGGAGGCTGCAGGAGCCATGTGTGGGGTTGGGTAGGAATCCTTGTTTTATATTTAAAGGTTGTGTGAAGTCCATAAAGGCAGGCTCTTATTCAGATGTAAGAACACAGACGAATTCCAGGGTTCATGTCATTTCCTGCAGCCCCCAAATTCGCGTAGAAATTTTAAAACGGCCTAGGATGAAACATCTACTAACCCTTATGAAGCCCTTTTTAGAGCATAATAAAGTAGTGGCTTGCAGTTACTGATGGCTTGCTATGCACCAGAGACTGGACGAAGAATTATGAAACTGAGGCTAATAAAGGATGACGAGGGGCAAAATTGGGAAGCTTTTTTTTTTTTTAAGGAAGAGCAGGAGGAAGGAAATCTTCCATCCACCGGTGCACTCCCCAGGTCCCCTAGTGCCTGCAATCGCTGGGCTAGGCTGAAGCCGGGAGCCCAGAACTCTGAACAGGTCTGCCACATGGGTGGCAGAAGCTCAACCACTTGAGCCATCATCAGCTAACTCTCAGGATTTCATTAGCTGGAAGTGGAGTAGCCACGGCTTGAAACCGGCACTAAGTGATGGCTTAACCTGCTGCACCACAGTGCTTGCCTCAGGAATTATTTTTTATTTTATCTGTTTTACAATATTTAATTATATATTTTGAAAAAGTTACAGAGAGAAACAGAGTGAAAGAGAGACGGTCCATCTGCAGGTTCACTCCCCAGATGGCTGCAATGACCAGGAGCCAGCAGGCACTTCACCTGGCTCTCCCATGTGAATGACAGGGGACAGAATACTTGTACCATCATCCACTGCTTTTCCAAGGCCCATTAGCAGGGAGCTGGATTGGAAGTGGAGCAGCCAGGATATGAACCAGGGCCCGGTGTTGCAGGCAGCAGCTTTTTTTTTTTTTTTTTTTTTAATTTTTATTTTTGACAGGCAGAGTGGACAGTGAGAGAGAGAGAGAGAGAGACAGAGAGAAAGGTCTTCCTTTGCCGCTTGTTCACACTCCAATGGCCACCGCGGCCGGCGCACCGCGGCCGGCTCACCGCGCTGATCCGAAGGCAGGAGCCAGGTGCTTCTCCTGGTCTCCCATGGGGTGCAGGGCCCAAGCACTTGGGCCATCCTCCACTGCACTCCCTGGCCACAGCAGAGCTGGCCTGGAAGAGAGGCAACTGGGACAGAATCCAGCGCCCTGACCGGGACTAGAACCCAGGGTGCTGGCACCACAGGTGAAGGATTAGCCTATTGAGTCGCAGCGCCGGCCCAAGGCAGCAGCTTTACCTGCTACACCACAATGCTGACCCAGGAATTATTTTTTTAAAGTTTTTTTTCTGTAATATTTTATGTCCCTTTTCCTAGTTATATATTTTTTCCTGAAAATGGATTCAAGTATATATATATACTATATAATATATAGTATATATATTATATAATAATATAATATATATTATATTATGTATCATATAATATATATATATACTTTTGGAATTTATACTTCCTGCTATTCTTCTACAAAGCACACTGAATTGAATTTAGAGGTCTCAATGTACCCTTGAACTTTAGCATCCTATTAGTTGACCTTTTGGGACTGTCTCCAGGCAGCATTCTGAACAGCTTACAACCCCAGGGGGTGCGCCTGGCCTTGTTTCCTTGGCTTACTTTTTTGTCATTTACCCTCTTCTCTTAAAGGATGGGCCACACAGGTCTTGAGGGCAGAATATTGCACCTGCCCTTCCACCAAATTCTCTGGTGAGGGAAGTCAGCGGCTTGGGTGACCTCGCGGTGCCTCTCCTGCTTTCCCCCGTCTCTGCTGACCTCAGGGCTCTGCTGCTGCTGTCTGCCTGCAGAAGGCAATGAGCCTTTTCAGCACGCCTGACACCTGGTCACAGCACTGGCTCAGGACCAGCAGCGTGTAAGAAAGCAGGACTCCTCACCACTTCCAGATCTGGGGCCGAGGGTTTTGGAATGCCTCATTCTGGATATATACCGTTTTCATTTTTCAGAGCGGACACCTCTGTAAACGTGAGATTAAGCCCCTGTCTGTGTGATTGCTTATCATGCCCCTCCTTCCCCAACACATTCTGGGTCACTGGAGGTCAGAGCCTCACATTCCTCCCAGCACTGGGAGGACTGGAAGTTAATTAAAGTAGACATTCAAACAACATTTGCTAAATATGACTTTACAGATGCCTTAAGTTGAGGCCATTGCAAATTATGTCTGAAATCTTAACACGGTTAAAAGTGTGATGGCTGTTTGATGTGTCAGATTTCAGATTGGTTGTGGAGTTTCTGAACTGTGGAGTCATGCTCCCAGCAGCTTCCTGGTCTACCTGATTCACCTTTGGAATTCCCTATTGCCCAGCAGATAACTGCTGTGGTCAGTTGGGAGATGCTTTGCTTATCACTTACCAGCCCAGCCCAGGAAGTAGAGATTGGCAGGGCCAGACCAGGGCCTGGGACGAAGGGACAGCCTCTTTGGTGGCCTGAGCTGGCTGTTGGTTCAGCCAGATTCTTAAAATTTTAGAGAAGTAGGAACCTTAGAGGCGCACCCTGGGCCCTTCATTTTACAGGGAGGGAAAGTGAGTCGCAACAGTGTTAGGTGACTTTTTAAAGGCTACAATTCAGTAAAAGTTGGAACTAGGGCTGAAGTCAGAAAGAAGTGTACAGTCTTTCCCATTTTCCTTTTTTTTTTTTTTCTGTACAGGAGCTATGAGAACTCCATTTCTCCTCTGCTTTTTTTTTTTTTTTTAAATAGGTTATGCTTTTAAACAGGAAGTTTTTCTTTATGCATAGCTGATCATGAAGAAGAATAGAGAAAGAATGTGCACCTTCTAGAAGCATGTTTTTGTTAAAATCTTGGTTGAAGGACTGGTAAATGAAGCTTTAACATCACTTTACAGCCTTAGGATACTTTTTCAAGTTCTGTAGGAATTAACTTAGTATTTTTTTCCTCCTCATCTTCCCCCAACCTTTTCAGTTTTGTAATTCTGTATATTGCTTAGGTATTATTCTCTATACCAGAAATGAATCTGTACTTTGTGTTTTTGTATTATTTTAAGGTATTAAAGAGAATCTAACTAGATATTTTCAGTAAACATTATTTTATGCATGTTTTTCTAAATTTGCCATAACATGACATTTTAGTGTGATTATCCTAAGGATTCCAATTGTGTGTTGTTGCATTTTAATTTTTTACAGACAAAGAGATCCACTGGTTCACTTCCCAAATGGCCACAACTGCTGGGCTGAACCAATTCAAAACCAGGAGCCAGGAGCTTCTTCTAGGTCTCCCACGCAGGTACAGGGGCCCAAGCACTTGGGCCATCTTCTGCTTTCCCAGGCCATGAGCAGAGAGCTGGATCAGAAGAGGTGCAGCTGGGACCTGACCTGGCAGCCCATATGGGATGCCGATGCCATATGGAGGCTTAGCCTACTACGCCACAGCATAGGCCCTGATATTTTAATTTTTTAAAATTTTATTTTGGGTCCAGCATTGTGGTGTAGTGTGTTAAGCCACCACCTGTGATGCCAGCATTCCATATGGGTGCCGGTTCATGTCACAGCTGCTCTACTTCTGATCTAGCTCCCTGCGAATGGCCTAGGAAAATCAGTGAAAGATGGCGCAAAGCCCTGGGCTACTTCCACCTGCATGGGAGACCCAGATGGAGTTCCTGGCTCCTGACTTCGGCTGGCCCAGTGTTGGCTGGTGTGGCCTTTTGGGGGGTAAACCAGTGGATGAAAGACCTCGCTTCCTCCCTCTCTGTAACTCTTTCAAATAAATAAGTAAGCATTTTAAAAAATATTTTATTTGGGAGGCAAAGAGAGAGAGCAAGAGGAAGAAGAAGCACTCCCATCTTTCGGTTTACTCCTCAAATGCTTGCAGTAATGGGGCTGGGCCAGGCTGCATCTGGGAGATGGGAACTCATTCTAGGTCTTCTACACAGGTGGCTGCAACCTAATTATTTGAGCCATCACTGCTGCCTCCCCGAGTCTGCATTTTGGAGTTGGGTGAGTACTGAACCCAGATACTCTGATACAAGTTGCAGGTGTCTTAACTGCAAGGTTAAATGCTCACCCCTTCAAGTCATGTTTTAAATGAACTTTGTCCTTAGGCCTGTAGTTTATTTTCTTGTTTCTAATTCTAACCAAAGCTTTGCTTTCTTCCTCACATATAGGGAAAATGTCTTACTGTAGGGGAAACACCTAGACTGTTTATGCATTTTGGTGATTTAAATCTGTTGGTAGCCTGTGAAGAGACTTGTTCAATGTATTGATTTTTGTCTAACACTAAGAATTTTCAGAGGCTTTGGCAATTTATGGGCAAGAACATTGTTGTCCTTGACTACTTTTTTTTTTTTAAGAAAGCAATGTTCTGTAATTTTTTGTTTAAAAATTTTTTATTTGCTCACTTTCATTTTATTTGGAAAGCTGATATAAAAGAGATCTTCCATCTGCTGGTTCGCTCTCCAAAGGGACTGCAGTAACAAAGGCTGGGCCAGGCCAAAGCCAGGAGCCTGGAACTCAGTCTGGGTCTTGCACATGGGTGGTGGAGGTCCAGATACCTGGGCCATCACCTGCTGCCTCCCAGGGTGCACATTAATAGAAAGCTGGGCCGGCGCTGCGGCTCACTAGGCTAATCCTCCGCCTTGCGGCGCCGGCACACCGGGTTCTAGTCCCGGTCGGGGTGCCGGATTCTGTCCCGGTTGCCCCTCTTCCAGGCCAGCTCTCTGCTGTGGCCAGGGAGTGCAGTGGAGGATGGCCCCAAGTACTTGGGCCTTGCACCCCATGGGAGACCAGGATAAGTACCTGGCTCCTGCCATCGGATCAGTGTGGTGTGGTGTGCTGGCTGCAGCGCCCCGGCCACGGCGGCCATTGGAGGGTGAACCAACGGCAAAAGGAAGACCTTTCTCTCTGTTTCTCTCTCTCACTGTCCACTCTGCCTGTCCAAAAAAAAAAAAAAAAAAGAAAGCTGGAGCAGAAGCAGAAGAGCCAGGACTCAAACCGGGCACTGCCATTTTGGGTGCAGGTGTACAGCAGCATCTTACCTGCTGCTCTGATTTGTGTCCCAAGGAGTCTAACTGTGTTCTGTGTTCATCTTTCTCTAAGCTCTGTAATCAGAGTCCTATGTGCTTTTGGTTAGCAATCATTTCTTTGTGCATTATTTGTCAAAACAATTGTCCTTTGCTTATAATCAGATAAGTGTTTTATGAGACATGTAACTTTTTAAAAAAGTTTTTAATTTTGAAAGGCAGGGATGCAGGGAGCTCCCTTCTACTGGTTCTCTGCTCAGCTCAGCTGCCTGCAGTGGCCAGCTTTGGGCCAGGCTGGGCCAGGTTGAAGCCAGGAGCCTAGAACTCTGTTTGGGTCTTCTATATGAGTGGCAGGGACCCAAGTATGTTTTAAAAATTTTATTTAATTAAAAGAGTTACAGAAAGGGGGGGGGGAGGGAGGGAAGGAGGAAGAGGGAGAGGGGGAGAAGGGGAGAGAGAGAGAGAGAGAGAGAAATATGTTCCATCTGCAGGTTTATTCCCCAAATGGCTGCAATAGCTAAGGCTGGATCAAGCTGAAGCCAGGATCCTGGAACTACATCTGGGTCTCCCAGGCAGATGCAGGGGCCCAAGCACTTGGACCATTTTCCGCTGCTTTTCTGGGCTCATTAGCAGGGAGTTGGATCAGAAGTGGAGCAATTAGGACTCAGGGTAGTGCCTGGATGGTTTGCTGGTGCCATAGAAGGCAGCTGAACCCACTGCATCTCAACGCCAGCCCGAACCAAGTGTGTGAACCATCGCTAGTGCCTCCCAGGGGTACGTTAGCAGGAAGCTAGAACTGGAAGTTGAGTGGCAACTCAAACCCAGGCATTCTGATAGAGGACACAGGCATCCCAAGTGGTGTCTTAACTGCTGTGCTAAAAATCTGCCATATAGGCTGGTGCCGCAGCTCAATAGGCTAATCCTTCGCCTGTGGCGCCAGCACCCCGGGTTCTAGTCCCTGTTGGGGTGCCGGATTCTGTCCTGGTTGCTCCTCTTCCAAGCCAGCTCTCTGCTGTGGCCCAGGAGTGCAGTGGAGGATGGCCCAAGTGCTTGGGCCCTGCACCCGCATGGGAGACCAGGAGAAGCACCTGGCTCCTGGCTTCGGATCAGCGTGGTGCGCTGGCCACAGCGTGCCAGCTGTGGTGGTCATTGGAGGGTGAACCAACGGAGAAGGAAGACCTTTCTCTCTGTCTCTCTCTCTCACTGTCCACTCTGCCTGTCAAAAAATAAATAAAAAATAAAAATAATCTGCTGTATTGTGTGTATGTGTTTGTGTGTGTGTGTGCATGTATTAATAGAGGAAAACAGACTGTTATTTTTAAAATAAAGTATAAACAAACTTACATAATTTTGTAGTCCTTTGTTACATAAAATTATTAAGGAAAGAAGAAACACTTCAGCAATCTAGGTTTTAAAATCCAAAATGTAATAAATGTTGATCTTTAAAAGCAACTCAGTTGTATGGAAAAGTCCTATTGCATTTTCTTTATTCTTCTACTGAATATGAACCATAGTTGCAATAACAATTTACGTTTATCTAGCAGTATGAAGTGCTAACCCACAGTGTCATTTGCTCATTACAGCTCTTTAAGGAAGTACCTAGGGGCTACTGTGTATGTCTCTTTTTTTTCCCATTTTTCCCGGCTGGACAAGTAAGCCAGCTTTAAAAAGGTTGATTTCGGCCCCTTCTCTTCAGCCCTGGCCTCTTGCCAGGAGGGGCTTGCTGTGGCCCTGCGCCTCCAGGGCGCGTGGCCTTCGGGCCACCCCTCAGGCTTCCTGGCCTGGATGCTCCTCCGTGTGGCTGGCTCCTGGTGCTCGGTATGAACCCAGATTCACCCCTCTCTCTTAGATAAAGCCCTCACTCTCCTATGCATCTGTCGCGCTAATAAAAAGCTTAAAATGTAAAAAAAAAAAAAAAAAAAAGGTTGATTTCTACCCCCAAGCTAACACTTTTAATTAATGATCGGAGTGGAGTACTGGTTTCCTGGCTTCCAGTTAATGTTCTTCGCACGCTTGTGATGATGAATTGCTTGCTGAGATATATAGATTGATGTTATGCACACATCCATTTAAGTGTACTTTATGCATATGCATTAGTTCCAGTAGATTTTTTGACTCAATAATTGTTCTTAAAAGTTATCATAACTTCCATTTAGTTTGCTCCTAAATGTGCTATGTACTAAGCTTCATGGTTGGTGTGTGTGTGTGTGTGTGTGTGTACATAGCTCTTACAGAATGTTCTTCCTTTCATTGTTCAATGTACTTGCCATGCTTGGACATAGCTCCCTCCCACCAGTCTCTTAAATGCCTGTGGGCGTCAGCTCCAATTTCACCCAGCATCTATTGAATGTGGAGGTTGGGAATAGTTTCATTTTACCCTAGGAAGCCCTTGGCAGACACATCAGTGAATCAAAATAGTTTCATTAGCTGCGTCATGTAGCACTGTATTGAAAAGACCCTTCTCTTCAGCAAAGGTAAAAGGAGAGGAAATATAAAATTGTGAAGTTAATATTATTTAGTCTGAGGGGTCTGAAAATACAGTTTTTAAAGATTTATTTATTTGAAAGAGTTACAGAGAGAGGTAGAGAGAGAGAGAGAAAGAGAGAGAGGTCTTCAATCTGCTGGTTCACTCCCCAGATAGTCCCAACGGCCAGAGTTGAGCCGATCTGAAGCCTGGAGCCAGGAACTTCATCCAGGTCTCCCATGTGGGTGCAGGGGCCCAAGGAATTGGGCCATCCTTCACTGCTTTCCCAGGAGCATTAGTGTTACAGAAATCTGAGGTGGGAAGACTCCCTTTGTTCAAACAGGCACCAGAGACAGTGGAGGATCGAAGCAGTTTATTACGCCAACGGGCTAAGCTGGAATCATTTCCCGAGAACTGAGCAACAATCCCAAGTTTCTTACAATATTTATAGGTTCATCAGCATCGTACCTTAGCTGTTACAGCATTGGTGGGTTTAAATTGCAGCTTGCGTGACTTAGGACCACACTTCCAGTGGTCGGTGGGCCTGGTGTGTTTGTAAGAGAGACACCAGGGGCAGATTTATTAGGACAGATTTATGACTGGAGTTTGCAGAAGCAGAATTTAGGACATTTTCCCTCCCTAGACAAGTTAACAGTGGGCAGCTGCTTCACTAGTTAATTGTGGGCAGCCACTTTTCAAGGTCTGTGTTGGGAGGAGGAGTCCGCTTTTCTTTGTCTCTGATTGTGGCCGTATTTCCTCTACATTAGCAGAGAGCTGGATCAGAAGCAGAGCAGCCCGGCCTCAAACTGGTGCCCATATGGGATGCAGGTGCTGCAGGCCAGCCCCCAAAATATAGTTTTGAATACTCTTCAGATTGCGTGTCAGCAATCTGTAATGTATTTCTTTCTGTAATGGACAGTCACTCAGTTTTTATTTGAATGCTGATTTGCTACTGCAGAATTGATGAGTATGTTGAAATCTCAAACATACATTGTACTATTGTGATTTTTTTTCACTTTTTAAATGATAAAGCTGTGCATTCAACTCTAGTCAGCTGGCAAATCTTAAATGTCAAAGAAAAAGCATGAAACATTTGCTTTTGAAATAGAGAATTCTTGGGTTTTGAACACATTTTACCCATGTGTGCAGTTTTTGAAGTAAAATATTTGTGCTTGCCTGACTTTTCTTCACCAAATGTCACAGTTCAGAACTCTTTTTGGTAGGAGACGGAGGAGTAAGTTCATCTGCTGTTAAACAGGCAATTAATCATCAAAGAAATGTGGAGAATGTGCATCTCAATTAACAGGATGGAATTTATGTTGTCCCTTTATAATACATAGTTCTTTTAAAAAAAAAGATTGTTTATTTGAAAGAGAGAGAGAGAGAGATATCTTGTATCCACTGGGTCACTCCACAAACAGCTGCAGCAGTCAAGGCTTGACCAGGCTGAAGTCAGGAGCCAGGAATTCCATCCTGGTCTCCCACAAGGATGGCAGCAACTCAAGTACTTGGGC